GAATCCAAGAGTGTGCAACCTGTGGAAATGGAGGGCTGACTGTCACCACTGTCTTCCTGGGTTCTACGAGCTACTCAAGTCAGTCGGTCACACCCAAGGAGGGAGTTGTGGGACCTCTGACTTCTAGCCAGTCAGTCAGAAGCACAGGTGAAATAATCCAGGGCCCGAGACTCATCTGACATAAGGGAAGCACCCTCAGGGACTGGGCCCTCCACTGGTGGCATCTGGTATCAGAGTGAATGGAGCTCAAGGCCACCCAGATGAAGCCCACTGGTGACAGCTTATCCCTGGGCACATGGGGAGAAAGCTCTTACAAGTCTGTGCTGATTGACAAGCAAGAGGGCTGCATTTGAGTCTCTTTTGTCTCGCTATATCTTCAAACAATGCAAATATCACTCGGAAAAAAGCGAGAATGAGTACTGTATGTAAGATAAATAGAATCCAAACCAAAGAGAGTTACCAGGTACAGAAAGGAGAAAAGGGCCTATCCACCAGGAAGACATAGGAACCCTAAGAGTGTAGGTGCCCAACATCAGAAACACAGGAGAGGAAACAAAACATGTGAAGAACTGAGAGGGGAGCAGAGACCCACTTGTGTAGTTGGGCTGAGCAAGTGTGAGGGGAGCAGAGACCCACTCATGTAGCTGGGCTGAGCAAGTATGAGGTGAGTAGAGACCCACTCGTGTAGTTGGGCTGAGCAAGTGTGAGGGGAATAGAGACCCACTCATGTAGTTGGGCTGAGCAAGTGTGAGGTGAGTAGAGACCCACTCATGTAGCTGGGCTGAGCAAGTGTAAGGGGAGTAGAGACTCACTCGTGTACTTGGGGGTGAGCAAGTGTGAGGTGAGTAGAGACCCACTTGTGTAGTTGAGGGTGAGAAAGTGTGAGGGGAGTAGAGACTCACTCGTGTAGTTGGGCTGAGCAAGTGTGAAGGGAATAGAGACCCACTCGTGTAGTTGGGGGTGAGCAAGTGTGAGGGGAGTAGAGACCCACTTGTGTAGTAGGGCTGAGCAAGTGTGAGGGGAGTACAGACTCACTCGTGTAGTTAGAGGTGAGCAAGTGTGAGGGGAGTACAGACTCACTCGTGTAGTTAGAGGTGAGCAAGTGTGAGGGGAGTAGAGACCCACTTGTATAGCTGGGCTGAGCAACTGTGAGGTGAGTAGAGACCCACTCATGTAGTTGGGCTGAGCAAGTGTGAGGGGAATAGAGACCCACTCATGTAGTTGGGCTGAACAACTGTGAGGTGAGTAGAGACCCACTTGTGTAGTTGGGCTGTGCAAGTGTGAGGGGAGTAGAGACCCACTCGTGTAGTTGGGGGTGAGCAAGTGTGAGGGGAGTAGAGACACACTCGTGTAGTTGGGCTGAGCAACTGTGAGGGGAATAGAGACCCACTCGTGTAGTTGGGGGGGAGCAAGTGTGAGGGGAGTAGAGACCCACTCGTGTAGTTGGGGGGGAGCAAGTGTGAGGGGAGTAGAGACCCACTCGTGTAGTTGGGGGGGAGCAAGTGTGAGGGGAGTAGAGACCCACTCATGTAGTTGGAGGTGAGCCAGTGTGAGGGGAGTAGAGTCCCACTCGTGTAGTTGGGACTGAGCAAGTGTGATGGGAGTAGAGACCCACTCGTGCAGTTGGGCTGAGCAAGTGTGAGGGGAGTAGAGACCCACTCATTTAGCTGGAGACGTGAACATCTTTCTCCTGACAACTCATAGGCTAGACGGAAATTGCATGCCCCCAGAAACACCCCCTAGCCCCTCAGCTACCTGGATCTAACCAACAGGTACAGAACTCGAGCAGAACTGCACGAGAATGTTTGCTCTTTTCGAACGCCCACAGAATATATATCAAGATACGCCATACCCCGGGCCATGAGACAAATCTTAACAAGCTTAAAATAAGTAAGATAACACAGCATGCTCAGTGACTACCCAGTATCAAAAGAGAAGGTAGCAACAGAATGCGACAGGAAAATCCCCACACAGGTGGGAAATGAACAACCCTTCACCATGATCCATGAGTCATGGAAGTCTCAGGGAAATCTTTCAAATGGAACTGAACCAAGATGAAAATATGTCACATGAAAAACGTGGGTGCAGGTGACACAATGCTAAGAGTGGAACTCACAATACTCACAATTCACATCAGAAAGAGGCAAAGACAAGTCAACATGGTAGGCTGCCACTCAAGGAACTCAATCCCCAGTGCCGCTCTGACGCCAAAGCCAGACCAGGGCAACACAGAACCAAGCAGACCAGTACCCCGCACGATGACAGAGGGACGCCCTTCAGCCAGTACTAGCAAATAGGATGCAGCAGGGCCCAGGAACCCAGATCACCCCAGGGACGCAAGGCTGGCTTAACATGTGAAAAATCGGTCAACATAAACTTCCTTATTAACAGAAAAAGAATACATGGTCATAGAAACTGAAATGGAAAAATCATTTTGCACATTGAACACTCATTAATGACTCAAAAGACTCTCAGAATGGGACCAGCAGATGGCGTAATGGCTACATCACTGGACTCCCACACAGTTGACCATGGTTCGTGTCCTGGACCCGGCAGCTTAAAACTCAGGCTGGGCACGTGTACATGTTGCCCAGGATCCCGAGAGGAGAGTGGAAGAAAGGACTGCAGCATAGCCATCCCCCTGGGGTATGATTTATCACTTTCTGTTTTTCCGTCTCTCCAGCAAGCACATGTACCTTACAGCAAAAATTTCTCAAAAGAAAAAAAAAAAAAAAACTCTCAGAAAAAGAGGAATAGAAGGGAACTTCCTTATTTAATAAATTATATGTACAAAAACAAACTCACGGCTATGTCATACTAAATGGTGGAGAACTGAAAGCTTCCTCTGAGACAAGAGGTCAGGGGCTGTGGGCCCCTCCCACAGCACAGAACTGGGGTCCTGGCCAGCATCCTGCAGAGAGGGAAGGAGGTGCTCATCAGCAGGTGACTCAATCCTCCAGGTAGGAAACCCCAAGGAATCTACACATAGTGTACTTGGAAAACACAAACAGAATCGACACTGAAACTAAGACAATTTAAGAATTCAGAAAAGTGGGAGATACATGACCAACATAAAAACCAATCACCTGGATTTCCACTTTTATCAGAAATAGTCGGAGACCAGACCACTCCCTCAACAGTAACAATCACACCACCAGACAGAGAAACAGAAAACCAAGCCGCAGACTGGGGGAGACACTTGGAAAACACATATTTGATACAAGACTTGTACCCAGAATAAAAAAGAACTCCTAAAACTTCACATCTAGAAAACAAACAGCCCAGGGACCAGCGGATGGCATGTAACTCCCATGTGGTTGACTGCAGTTCGAGTCCTGGGCCCAGTAGCTTGAAACGCACACCGGGCGTGTGTGCGTGCGTGCCCAAGATCCCGAGAGGAGAACGGAGGAGAAGGGATCGCGGTGTGGCCATCCCCCCCAGGGGGTGATTCTCTCTGTCTCTCTGTCTTTTTGGCAAGCTCATGTGCCCTATAGCAAAAACCTCTCAAAAAATTAAAGAATAAAAAAGCAGCCCAACTAAAAAGTGGGCATAATATCTGAATAGGAAGCTCACCAAGAAAGATACAAGGATGATAACTAAGCATATTTCGAATGTTCAGAGTCGCATGTCCGGGGGAACCGAGATTAAAATGCGATGCCACACCACACACTGAATTCGAAGGCTGGGCTCCAGTGCGCTCGCAACACCCAGCGGAGGCAAAGGGCTCTCCCACTGCTGCTGGGTACAGACAGGGCAGCCCCAGAGGGAGGCAGCAGGCGGCCTCTCACAAAGATGACGCGGTCTCGCTGCACAGCCCAGCAGTCTCTTGGGTATTTACCCAAACGAGCTGGAAAGTGCATCCATACAGAAACCTGTGCATGAGTGTTTATAGCTGTTTATCCATATTTGCCAAAAACTAGAAGAAACCAAGATGCCCTTTGATAGGTGAATGGGTAAACTGCAGTGTGTAGGACAGGGGATCAGCAGCTCATGGCTAGACAGGGACAGCTACCAGGTTGGGGCCACAGGAAGGCAAGCACAAGCTGCTGAGCGAAGTGCCCGTCTGGAGAGGCCACGCTCCTGCAGCCCGGCTCCGCGACAGCTCCGGGGCTTCAAAAGATCAGCAGCTGCCGGTGGTACAGGGATGGGGCAGGGCCGACTAGACTCCCGTGTGCCAACGGCAGGGACCCCGGCTCATCCTCACGCTGACCCAGGAGGATCAGACGAGGGGCTGGGAAGACGGGGCTCACTGCCCCGAGCCAAGAAGAGACCTGGGACTGTCGAAGAAAGGAACTGAGCCACGAGAGCCTCCACCTTCCCAGAAGGCACCTGGGCAGGAGAACGCAGGTGCGTGCAGTGTGGGTGCAAACGCACGCATGGTGACACTCCCTGGCCCCATCTCCTGGAGGCCCCAAGACCTGGCCTGGTGCCCCCCGTAAGAACATTTTCTCTGCGTTTGAGACCAGAGGGCTCCTCCGGGTGCTGCTAACAGCCATGCGCTGGGCGGGAGGGCGGCACTGGCCACACGCAGGTCTCTGCTAAACTGGCCTGGCAGGAGCCTGGTGCTGCAGATGGGCACGGGTTCCACGAACGCACACAAGGAGGAAGGCGGCAGCACGTGCGGGCCTGCAGGGCACGGAGCAGGCCGGTGGCAGCTGGGTAGGTGGCAGAGCCCCCATCAGCGTTGCCTCTCTACAGCCCTTGCCGGCTCACAGCCACAGGCTGGTGACCATTAGGGTCTCTCCTGAGACCAGCCCTCGGCTGTGGCCAACACAGACAGGAGCCTGGCGCTGGGCTGGCAACTTGGCGTGTCTTTGGAAGAGAAGAAAATGGAGTTGGACTCTGCGTTACGTCCGGGCACTCGGGGGCAACGGCCGTCGGGACATGTCACACTGGAGGAGCAGCTCACACAGGTAGGCTGGGCCCCAGAGCAGCTGCCAAGGAGCAGGAAGAAAGGGGGTGGCCGGAGCTGCACCAGGCGGGCACCGGGGGATACTCACTGGGAATGACCTCGGTCTCCCCGGGGGGGGCTGTCAGTGTCACGGGGATGTGCACCACGGTGCTTGGGTCTGAGGGGGGGCTGCCCGTCCGAGTGACATTCCGCTGGTTGTCTGCATCCTCTGGCTGCTCCTCCACCTTTTGGAGACACGTGCTGTGCAGTGTGTGTGCAGGGGCCGTCATCACACTGGCTTCCAGGTCGCAGTTCGGCTCCCTGCAACCAAAATCACGCATGAGCCCAGCTCCTGCTCAGCCTGCACCCGGGCCCTTCGACCTCGACCGGTGCAGCCTGCTCTCAGGCCAGCTCCTCTGCTACTCTGGGGTCCTGCGTGGTAAAGGCTCTAAGTCACCACCCCGCACAGCCTGGACGGACAGGACATGGCACGGTGGCAGGCAGGGGCAGGACTGGCACTGCGACCTGTACACGGGACATCTGCTGAGTGAAGGAGCCTGCAGGGTGTGTCCTAAGCTGCCACACCAGGTGCTCTGTCAGGCCGGAAGCCCAGCCCAGAGCTCGGCACACACGGACCACAGCTGGGCCGGCCAAAGTCTTGGCCTCGGGCCAATCGACCTGGTGGGGCAGTGCCAGTTGGCCTCCAGCTTGTCACTCTGCCCTCTCAGGCAGCCAGGCCCTGCCCCACCCAGGGCCAGCCCAGGGGCCTCCTCAGGCCCTCCCGTGTTCCCACCTCTCCCCCCTCCACAGTGTCACCCAGCTTTCTCTTCACCCTGGCCTCCTTCTTCCCAGGTCACGCATCCCAAACCAGCACAACATCCCCCCCGCCCTCGGGGGGCCTCCTCCTGGACCTCAAACAACCCAGGACCCATGCCAAGCAGCCCACCACAGGCTGCCAGGCAGGGGGGGTGCCCCTCACTGTCCCCTGGGAGAACACAGGCCCGAGGGGGCTCGGGAACAGGGCGGTCTGGCCCCTCATACACCGCCCTCCAGCCAGGAGCTGGGCCCCACATTCCCCAGGGCTCCCAGGCCCTCTCTGTCCGCTTACATGGGATGGTGGTTCCGGGGCTCCTTGTCCTTGCCCCCTCCCGCAGTCCCCGCGGCCTCCTTCTCCGTGCCCTCGGGCGGGGACTGCACCTTGTGCCGGACCCGGTGCCGCCGTGCAGGCTCCTCGCCGTTCTCCGTCTCTCTGGGGCCGGCCCGGAGGCCTCCGCGATGCCGAGCTCGCCGCTCACCCTTGGCCCCCAGGGTGGTGCCCTCTTTGCCCTGGTCGGCGTGCCGGTGGCCACGGTGGCGCCGGGGCTCTCGCTCAGCTGCCTCCTCCGGGGACCCATGCCGGTGATGGCGCCGGGGGCCCTCAGAGCCCAGGCCCCGGCCGCGCTCGCCTCGCACCTCACGGGGGCCCGCGGCCTCCTTGCTGCAGCTGCGGCGTGGGCGCGCCCGCTCCCCCCGCGGC